ACAAGGAAACATGAACAGTGTGTCCATGTCCTAGGGCTGCCATATCAAAGTGCCATAAGCTGGGTGGCTTAAAACATCAGAAATGTATTGTCTCATAGTTCTGGAGGCCAGAAGTCCAATATCAAGGTGTCTGCAGAGTCAGTTCTTTCTAGAGGCTCTGAATAGCATCTGTTCCATGCCTCTCTCCCCCTTTTGGTGGTTCCCAGCAATCCTGGGAATTTCTTGGCTTATGGATGCATAACTTCTATTCTGTCTCCATCTTTCTTCTGTGTCTCTTCTCTCTTGTAAGGAAACACACTCAGATGGGATCAGGGCCCCTTGCCTCCAGTCTGTTCTCAAATTAACTGATAACATCTTCTTGTTGTTGTTGTTATATGCTGTCCCCGACTCATATCTTGAGAGAACCTATTTCCGCATGAGTCACATTGCCAGGTACCTGGGTTAGGACTTCACCTGTTTGTCCTTGACACAGAGCCGAGGTGCTCACTATGTGTTCACTGAGTGAATGATTGAGACTGTATATAACAGGGAAGGAACAGGGAGACATTGAAGCTGTCCCTTGTTTCTTGCTGGGAAAGTGAGCTGAAGAAAGGTGGTGCTACTGAGTTAGTAGTTCTGGAAGAGCACAGGACAGAATTGGAACCACAGAAGTAATGACTTCTCTTTTGCACATCTTTGAGTCACTCTTAAGCTATTTAAGTAGGATACCCGAGGTGGTTTGATATTATGGGCCTGGAACTCAGGAGTGATGCATAGGTATCATCTGAATAACGATGATACCTAGCCTCGTTAGATATGTGATTAACACTTTAATAAGAATAATACATTTATGGAGTGTTTCTTCTGTGCCAGGTAGCGTGCTAAGTGTCTGCTCCTATCATCTAATACTCAAAACAAGCCTCAGACAGAAATCAGGCTCGTAAGGGTTCAATAAGCTGCCTGAGGCCGCTCAGCTAATAAATGGAAGATCCAAGATTTGAACCCAGGAGGTCTGTTACCAGAGTCCAAGATCTTCCCCACTGTACCACTGTGCATGTTTGAGCTAGCTCTTATCCAGGCCTGTCAAGTATGGTATTTGGTTAAAACAGCCAATCAGCATGGACTACCTCCTTCCCCAGTTCCTGAGGACAAAGGCTAATGTGACCTTGGTAGTTCAATGAAAAGGAGTTAGGGAGTCAGACATAAAAATCTTCATGGACCATCATTTACTTCGGAAACATGATTCATAACCATCCCAGCAATGGAAAACTGAAAGATGACAGTGAAAGTAAAAGAAAACAGTGGCGTCTAAAGCTCTTCAAAAGAGAGTAGAAGGAGTTGTGTCAGGGGACACTTGGGGTTTCCTGGAAGGATGACTGCTTTGGGTTTCTGCTTCTGGGAAGTAGGTTTTGGTTTGCTGACGTGGGTCTCAGCACAAGTGACTGCATGCCGGCCTGTACAGTGAAGTTAACACTTGGCAACACATGGCACTGGGCCTTAGTTCTGGACCTTACATCACAGGGTGGACTCAGTGGGCTGTCGATTGCCCTTCACCTCCAGATTCCTATGCCCCTGCCCTTGGCCTGAAGCTCACCAAGAGATTCCACCCCCACCAACGTGGGATAGGGAATATTCTAAAAATCAAGGAACACCAAAGCTTTTCCTTTTCTTCTCTTGCTGCCAGCCTTTTTATGACTTTCCAAGAGGAAGAGGAAGAGAGGATCAGTCCAATTTGCTGCATATTTGGGGCAAATGTTTCATGGAGTAGGGAGAGACCAAAATGACAATTGAAACCCCTCCTCATTCATCCCCACACTGCAGTCAGAGTGATCTCTAAAACGTCAAACATGATCTTATCAAGCTCCTGCTTAAAACCCTTCAGGGGCACCAATACTCTTCGGATCAAGACTGAACTCCTGCCTGTGGACGATGAGTTGGAATCAACTCGCCTGCCAGGGAGCTTGGACTGTGAGGTTCTGAGGTGCACTCGGGCCCTGCCTCCTTGTCCGGCCTTGTGTCCTGTCTTACTGCCCCTTCCTCTTTCTGGTGCAGCTATATGGATCTTCTTCAGGTTCCTCAAACCTGCTGTGTTCCTTCTGTCCTGGGGCCTCTCTGCACGTGCTGTTTCTGCTGCCTGTTCCGTTTGTACGCGCTCTTCCCTCTGCACTCACCTCGTTAACTTACTCCTCGGGTTTCAGCTAGAGGACTCCTTCCTTGGGATGGATTTCTCTGGTTCCCACCCAAATAGATCAGATTCCCCTACTATAGCTCTTTTACCTTCATCATATTTGTCACAAGTTGCAGGTTGAATTATTTGATTAATGCTCCTCTCCTCATCCTCTGTGAGAACAGCAACCTTACCTATTTTTTGTCCCCAATGAGTGCCTCCACGAGAGAGGTATATAATAAAGCCAAGTAAGTCCAGAGAGTACTAAGTGCTGTGAAAGAAAGAGAAGCGGGGAGATGGATGTTGAAGAAGAGATGTCAAACATTTCTGAATGCCGAGTGAAAGTGTCAATGAATGAATCAACTCTGATTTGGGGACCTTTTGAGAAGAGAAAGTAAAGGAAAGAATTAAATAAACACGAATTGTACATCAGTTCTTCTTATTATCAAAACAGACAAGTTATGACACCTCCATTGCTGAGTTAGAATTAGGAAGGGGTTAAAAATGGTCCCCTCTGAGGAGAGAGATGTAAGGCCATTAGCAGTTCTGTATGACATCAGCCAGTGTTACAGCAAGAAAGTAGATCTCTTCTGTTGACATGGAGGTGAAGCAGTGAATACTGTGCTGCTACCACAATGGAAGAGTGGGTTTGAGTCCAAGAAAACAGATCTACAGAATGGGACTCTCGTTCGGATGCCTTTGACAATGACATTATCTTATGCAGTAGATTAAACATGTGAATATAATCCACGTTGTTGTAGGCAGCGTCAGACATGTAGCCCACAGGTGAAGTAACACATCACCTCTCACCCACAGCGTCAGTGGGAGGGGAGGGGAAGCAGGAGGTGGATCCAGTGACTGTTTGTTGTTTCAAATTCCACCTCCATTTGGGGCTTCGACAATGAGGTGAGAGAAACACTGGGAATAAGGCACCAAGAATGAAGGGGTAAGGCTCAGAGGTCACAGAAGAGAAGTCTTTAGCATTACATAGAGTTCCTGGAGTAAATCATTCCTATTACTGAGAAGCCAGCTAGAATCCAGTTTTCAAAAATATCTCTGAAAGGTAGTAAAAACGGAAGTTCAATCTGCCTTCCTTAACTTGATTCCTGAGTTTAAAGCCAGGAGGCTCACAGAAAGAGGGTTATTATCCCTGTTGTTGTTGTTGTACTTAAGTGCCGTTCAGTCACTTCTGACTCATAGCAGCCGGTGTAGGACAGAGCTGCCTGGTCCTGGGCCGTCCTCACATCACTGCTATGTTTGGACCCATTGTTGTGGTCACTGTGTCAGTCCCTCACGTTGACAGTCTTGCTCTTTTTCACTGACCTCTACTTTACCAGCATGATGTCCTTCCCCAGGGGCTGGTCCCTCCTGATGACATGTCCAAAGTACATAAAATGAAGTCTCACCATTGTCCCTTCTGAGGAGCATTCTGGCTATACTTGTTCCAAGACAGATTTGTTTGTTCTTCTGGCAGTCCATGGTCTATTCGATATTCTTCATCAACACCATAATTCAAAGGCATCAGCTCTTCTTGTCCAGCTTATGCATGCCTGTGAGGTCGTTAAAAACACCTTGCCTTGGGTCAGGTGAGCCTTAGTCCTCATTAGTAAAGTAGAAAGCAGCTGGTTTTTCACAAAGTGTCAATACGGTAAATCTTAGGTATATGTGTGAAAACACTCACAGGCCCTTTGTCAGTCACAGTGCTGAATAGTGGTCTCTAAACTCTTTAAGGTGGCTGTTTGGAAATAAATAAATAGCCCACTCGAGTGCCAAAACCACGAGAAAGGAAACCTGCAGGAGGATCTTCAAACCTGCAGCTATCCATTTCCACCTCCTTAGCAGTTAGAAATGGTAAAGGTTCAGGCGTGGGTTGCTTTTTAAGTAGCATCCAGATTGCCGTCAATTCTGATTGGCTGCAAAGCACAAGATGTTAAAGGCACATGTTATTAGATGTCGTGCAGTCAACGTGAGTCCGAGAGCCTCGTGGCAGCCCGTACACAACAGAATGAAACGCTGCCTGGGCCTGCTTCTGCCGCACGATCAGCTGGAGTTGGGACCATTGCGGCCCATAGGGTTTTTGATGGATGGTTTTCAGAAGCAGATCACCAGGCCTTCCTTCCTAGCCCGTCTTAGTCTGGAAGCTCCGCTGAAGCCTGTGCCTTGCAGGCACACGTAAGCCTCTACTGACAGACGAGTGGCATCTGTGCATCAGGTGCGTTGCCTGGAATTCAACCGTAATCTCCAGCTGGAAGGTGGGAATTCTACCACTGAACCACCAGTGTCCCTGTTAAAGGGACAGAGGTGGCCTTTTCTGGGTTCCGACAGCTGTGGTCACTCCCTGCCAGAGAAGTGAATGCACACTGCGGTGCACTGACTGGGCGGCTTAGTAGTTAGATTCGGTGTATTCCAGGGCTGGGCTGGTGAGTTACATGATTTGGTAGCCCTGCTAGAATAGCCAGATAGAAGCCGACTCCCGAGGGCCTGCAGAGCTGGCCCAGGCTCTCTGAAAACCTGAGAGCCGGGGAGGTAATGGGCTGAGCCTATGAATCAGACTGGCTCTCTATCTCAGTTATCAAACTACCCCAGAACTTAGTGCTTAAAACAACAACAGTTTTAGGTGACTGGACATTTCCTACTTGGGCTGTCTCATGCAGTTGTAGTCATATGTTAGCGAGGTCTGAGTCATCTGAAGGCTTCTTTACTTCCTATGTCTGGTGACCGGGCGTGGGTCATTTTAACAGCTCGGGGCTGGCTGGGAATATTTCCTCTCCATGTGTCTCCTTGGACTTCCTCACAGCAGGGTGGTCTCAGGGTAGCCGGGCTTTTGACATCGTAGCTGGTTTCTCCCACAGCTAGAGTTCCAAGGGACAGGAAGTAGAACCGGCAAGACCAAGGCCCCGAAACTGTCTCAGTGTCACTTCCACTGTTAGATAAAGCAGTCAGAAGCTGCCCAGATTCAAGGGGAGGAGAGAGAACCCTCAAATCTCAGGGCAAAGAATCTGTAATGAGCTTTAATCCTCGACATCCTCCAACCAGGGCCCAGAGGGTTTGTTTGTAGTGGATGAGTGTCCTTGTCTGGCCATACTGGATGCTCTGCATTCAGACAGCTCTGTTAGGCGGGGCAAGATGGCGGACTAGGCAGAAGGATTGCACAGACCCTCTTCAACAAAGAAAAGGGAAACCAATAAATA